TACTAGACTGCATAAAGGACGTCCAGCACTAGTGGGAGCTCTCCTTAACATCCCCAGCACTAGTGGGAGCTCTCCTTAACATCCCCAGCACTAGTGGGAGCTCTCCTTAACATCCCCAGCATTTTGACCTCATGTGCTCTTTGGCACCTTGCTTTAAAAAGCACAGATGCTGCCATCATTAAAAACTATTTAAAAAAATGAGAACTTAATCATTCGACTTTAAAAACAAGCCTTTGAGTATCAGTAACTTGTTTTTTCCCCTTTTATCAGTCTTGCAGTGTGATGCTTACACCACATCCAGCCTCCTATGGATAAAGTTGCATTGCATTTGAGGCTGGGGAGATAGGTCACACCCCCCACCAAAACCACCCAAACCTGGGGGTGGGGGGTCAGTCCCCTGCATGGAGTGACACCGCTGAGGGGGATGCAATGAGTGGTGGGGGCGTGGGGTGGGGTTAATTTCCATAGTGGCTTATAGTTTAGTATAAAGCAGAGAGACACACAGCTGTCAGTCAGTCAGTCAGGCAGGCCGCCCCGCAGGCAGGAAGGCAGGCCGCCCCGCAGGCAGGAAGGCAGGCCGCCCTGCAGGACGAGGCGCTCTCCCTCGGCACCCGCCGTCTCCTCATTCACAGGAGCGTGCACTTGGCCTTTGATCTCTTCTTCTTCTTCTTCCCCTCCTTGCTCATCTTCTCCTTGTGCTTCCGGATCTCTCTCACTAGTGTGTAGAAGGCGTCGTCCACGCCCTGGCAGGGGGCATCACACAACACGTGTTTACATACGATCCCGCAGTACATTCCGGCAGACACCATTTAGGAGGGGGCTCCAGTGCCCCCCCCCACCCCCATCTTCCCCAAATCCGCTGAAACTCCTTGGATCTTGGGATCCCTTCTGTGCCACTGTCATGTTTATGGCTCCGTGGATTTAACTGAACCCAAGATTCTAGAACCATCCTCCTCCGTACACACAAGCAACAGGGAGTAGTGCCTTTGTGAGACTTCAGCTATGCAAATTCATCACACGTCGCTACTAAGTAACATAATACACCCAAGTCAGTCATTTTTATCATTATTACACATGTGTAATACAACCTAGAAAGTTTTCTTGTGGTAAAGCGCAGTTGCCCTGTAAATCCACTCGGGTATTTACGCACATTGCTGCCAGTGTGTTACATGTCAGATAATGCTGCGTTTTCCCTGATGGACGCACAGGCAAACATAAACAGCCCGAAGGTTACAGTACGCCCTGCACATTCCACATTCCCCGAGGAAGCGGACGCCTCCTTATTGCCTGAGCTCCTCACCGTCAGCCCACCGAGACGGGAAACAACGGCACGCTTTCTGTAAAATGCTGAGGGAAAGGAATTCACATACAAGCCAGAACCACACCCCCCACCCCACCCAAGACCAGTGAGTATTTGTTGCTAAACCTGCACATCAAGTGCAGCTGGTGTCCTCAAAATCATTCCTTAAAGAACGTGTCTGGGATACTTTAATGACAAAACCTTCTCAACGACAAGGAAAGCACATCATTGCCAGGAAGGTACGGGCAACCCAGCCGAGCTGACGATTATTTCACTGCTGTGACGGTAAAGCCGACAGCTAACACAGACCGACAGCTAACACAGACCGACAGCTAACACAGACCGACAGCTAACACAGACCGACAGCTAACACAGACCGACAGCTAACACAGACCGACAGAAGAGGCACCATTTTGGTTTGTAATTATATTTAGTCTGTACCGCTTATTGACCAAAACCTGAGAACATCGTCAAATACCTACAAGAGCATGAAGTGAATAAAGAAAACGCTTAACACCTTGTAGGAGGGGGGAAGGGGGGGCATTCCCATGCTAACGCCAAACCTGATGGTAAATGTAGACTGCAGATTCCAGGCATACCACAGCAACAACACAGACCTGGCGCAAGTCTCCACTGTGCCAACTCACTGCGCCATTCTACTCCTGAACTTCAACGCTACCAGACTCAGTGAGTCTTCCCCTCCGCACTGCCCAGACACCCCCCCCCCCCAACGTGACCCACCCCAGTCCTGGGTGGTTGGTGTTCCCACCTGTCTGGTTTTGGCCGACGTCTCTATGAAGGGGATGCCGTAGTTTCTGGCCAGGTCTTGGGCCTGCTTGGTGTCCACCGTCCGCGATGGAAGGTCACACTTGTTGCCCACCAACACCATGGGGACGTCCTCAGAATCCTTCACCCTCTTGATTTGCTCTCTGTAGGGGAGTTAATACATTTAAGGCCTGGTTTAGATACCATCAATGCTCAATGTCGCCCCCAGCTCGTCCGATGCGTATGCCACAAGCGGCCTGCTGGTACCTGTAGTTGTGAATGTCCTCGAAGGACTTGCTGTTGTTGATGGCGAAGACACAGAGGAAGCCCTCCCCAGTCCTCATGTACTGGTCTCGCATGGCGCTATACTCCTCCTGACCTGCCGTGTCCAGGATGTCCAATAGGCATGTCTCCCCGTCAATCACCACCTGCTTCCTGTAGGAGTCCTGTGAGTGGGGGGAGGGGGGAACGGAGACAATGAGCTGCACGCACAGAAGCCACCAGAACCTTCACTGGCCTGGAGTTTGACTCTCAGATTAACTGCTTGCTGTCTCCATGGGGAAATGATACAGGGCTGGATTAAGAGTATTAAGTACCCATGAGCAACAGCTCACATGACGTCACCTCAGAAAGGAACAAAGCTGATTGGTGGCTCACAGAATTCGAAAATGCATCAAAGCAGGGAAAATGTTCCAGGCTTTTCAGTGAGTTCCATATTGAAAGAAAAATATACAATCATATTCAATACATTACATATTAAATTGCATTACTTGCTAAAGGACATTCATGAATAGGATGCGGGGGGGTATGGGGGGGTTGCCCTGCCCATATGGTTAACTTGAGAACATTTTAATTCTTTTGTGTTCCCATCAACTTAGAGATACACACATACACACAGAGGAATGGGATTCGAGCCCGTGACCTTCCGATGGCAGTAAGAAGCTTAATCCACTGAGCCACAGACCACCCAGCCCATTCAGCTGAATGCAAGGTCTGCATCTCAGGCACGCATACCTCGATGGTGGGGTCGTACTCGTCCACGAAGTGGTTCTGGATAAGCTGGATGGTGAGGGCGCTCTTCCCCACGCCACCAGCCCCCACAACCACCAGCTTGTACTCCGTCATGGCTCACCTGGAATGGGAAATATGCATCAGCACAGGCAGAAGAGCAGCCAGGAACCACCGGGATCTCCAGAGCCACCACCCGCCCCGCTGGGAATACGCCTTCCACTGAAGCATGCGCCGTGCGACCGAGAAACCCGCCCGACTGGTCCTCTCTCCCCGAAACAGTGCCGCGCGATCACCACCAAGAGACTCGGAGAAAGGAATTACAGCGAGTGCAGTAAGCTGACTACCACATCTGGGAGGAAGTTTTAGGGTCAAAGGGCATCCGGGGCGTACCCTAAAAACTATCACACGTCATAACATGGCGACGGCAAAAGAAGACATTTGGGCCTTAATCCACGTAAGCCCCAGGCACAGCTACGATGTGGAAACCCCCAGTTTAATAAGACGTCAGCACCTCCCCTAAGTCTAACTTACTACCTCCATACAGTAACACCTCTCAGTCAATTCTGGCCGCCGTGAGATTGGATTAGCACACTGAACCGTGCTGGCAAAAACAAAACAAACAAACAAACAAACAAAAAAAAAACCTCAGTTTTCTGAACCATTTCAGGAGCAAATCCTGAGCAAATGTGATCGTCTGTTTCCAGGTCAGCCAACCTGCCACAGAGAGCGAAAATGTCTGTGATTGCCAATTCTGAAAGGGTTTAGGGTTAGCGGGCAAATATTAAAAAATTTTAACTGAACCCATTTTAAAGTTACATACCATCAAAGCACCATTTATATATGACAAATGTGTAACCCATCAATAAAGGTACATTCTCTTCAACAAGAAAATGCTGATTGTAGTCAGGATGTTGGGAATTACACCTAATTTATTAAACTTGGAATTTAGAATAATTGAAACGTCAAAACTGTAAATTATAGGTTTTGAGGATAACAGATAAAAGGACAGAGATCGACCTTGGCAGGACTCACAGTGCGGTTCCTGCAAGTACCCTTGGACAATATCTGGATTTGCATGCAATGAATTCATGTTTTATTAGAGATTAAGAGCTGAGTGTTCTGCGTTGAGATTTATGGCCACGACTGACACTCTGGTATGTCAGGCACTGTGGAACACGCAGATGGCTGCAGCTGGGTTTGATAAGTCACTAAAAAAAATACTAAACTTCAGTATGATTCGTAATTACAGCAGAATCGACGTCATGTAGCCTGCCGGGAATAAAAGGATCCATTAGTGCAAAGGTGTTTTATGGCCCTACCCACAAATCAGCCAGAGGAGTTTAGAAATGATCCGCGGATTTGTCCCGCGTAAATTGCTTATTTTAAACCAGCAAATGTACCTATTCGTCTCTTCATGCGACAGGAAGGAGTTACATTCACTTTCAAGGTAGACGCGTCTTCACCCACCGGCCACTAGATACGGGGCCAGCCGTTTCATTTTAGGAAGACTTCACTATAGATTACAGTCTATGACGCCAAAGACAGCGAAACAAAAGCTACCGGCAAAAATGATAAGAATATCTCCAGATTTTAGGAGACGATCTAGTGGCAATATAGACCTTTTCCGCATCGGTACATGATGATCATGATCATCATCATCCAGCGTTCACCATGAACTCAATGGCGCCAGGCTTCAAACATTGTTTAACACATATTTAGGGGAAAACGAGCTGGATTCTCGTCCTCCTCCAGCACTCGTGGCCTTTCATCAGTAACGAAAAGCCAGCAGATCCACATGCATTAAGGGGGAAAATACGGACGCGTTAAGCCGACACCCCATTTTCCGTCCATGACACCGATCGGATGCTGTGTCTCTCAGCCGAAAGAGCCGCAGCGCTCCGCGGGGACGAAGCGGCCGGAAAGGTGTTTAAAGGCGAAACGCTCTCCGATGGGGGAGGTGGGACCCCTGGGGACCCCCGTGGGCTCACAGCCCCGCGCCGACCAATGGGAGCCCTGCCTGCGTCGGGGACATTTTTCCATTTTCTTACAAGCGACTAACTCACTTAAAACCAACAAAAATTATGGGTTTTTGTACATGAATGCAAAGAAATAAAATACCGCCGTCCGCAATTCAGTTACCGATGCAAAAATACGGTACAGAAGTTTTACCTTTTTGCTCTCGGCGTGTCGCGTCCGACGTCCCCCAAAATGCTGTAAACTGTTAAAGTCCTATTTTCTGGACGATTCCGGCATCTTGCGCTTCAGCCGCAAAGTATTGCGTCGGTATCGGTCGTGTAAACCAAATATTACTGAAACCGCTGAAAAAATAGCAAAAAGGAAACTTAGTTTCTTTTGAAATATCCTCGTCCGGCCTGCTCATAGCGCAACCAAGCGCACATTACCGGGGAGAATACGGGCTACATGGCAAAGACGTTACGGGAGACCACTTACCCACAAAAGCAAAGTGCAGCCCAGTTTGTCTGGTGGTTTCCCCACCTGGTCTTTCCTTAGCCGATCGTTTCGGATTATTGCACCATTGTATCTTCTGTAAATTACAGATTATTCCAGACCCAAAGGGGAGGGGCGTGATATTACTCCGGCCGACGGTGTGGACTGACAGACGGCACCAGCTCAGTTATTAGACTTGCTTCACCAAATTATTTTAGCAGAGGCGTTATGAGAAATGACACGGAACGCTCAGCTGGGGGGAAGGCGACTCGGGGTTTTCGGAATCTGATTCTCTATGTTAAAAATGGACTGTTATCAGGTTAAATAGGTACTTTTGAAACATAATCATGAGCCATGGATAAATTTATATTTAAGGTGTCGTTTAAAGGTCATAACTTCAGATCTTGAACTGTAGATATATTTTGACATGGATTAAAATAATACATGAACGGAAAAAACGAGAACCGGGACTTTAAAAGAAGTTAAGGCAATTTCTGAAAGAATCGACCACGTGTCATTTTAACATCCGTACTAATTTAACACGAGCTCCGCCAACAGCACCGCTAAGGAAGCGCTCACACTGCACAGAGCAGAGCGCCGTTTAAATAGGCTCTATAAATATACCCGGAAGAATTTTACGATGACGTCACCAACTATGGGAAGTTCAATTGCACGACAGTCTGTCAATCAGGCCGATTGGGGCGGGGCGATCGTACGAATACGCACGCATTCACGCCGACGTTTGTCACGAGGTTCCTAGGATTTCACTGATAGCAGAACTCGATGTAGTATAAATACATTATTATATTTGCACATTTGCCATAAATTATAAAACGTGTATAAAACATACAACAATCTATATCGCCTTTTTCGTACAAAATATTACAAATCCATGTCATTATTCAAATTTTTAGACCAAAATATTTTCAGCCCAGCTGGTATCTTATTGGATATCTAATTAGTTCTGCTGCCCAGTTATAAAATATTTAATGCTAATTAATCATGCTGAAATTGAGAAAAATAAAGAACGGCACTGCTTTCTTGTAACAACATTCAGGAAAGCACTGTTTTAATAATTCTTTAATGGAGCAGTTGAGTAAGGAGGCGCTAGTGTGGCCACGCCCACCCCCGATGTCCTAGTGAACGGTGTCTCTTGGCAACAGTGGTGGTAGATAGTGCGAAACTTGTTGAGACAGACCGTGTGCTGGTAGAAGTGGCACAGGAAGGGAGAGGAGGAACCGCACAGTGGAGGTAACCCACAAACATCAGGTCTACATGGGACTCGTGGAATAGAACAAACAGACAGACACATCCTTACTCACACACAGATACACACAGGTTTGTAATAATATCTTTGTGGGGACCCTGCATGAGAGATTGGGTGGGTGGTGACACCGGGGGGGGGATGGAGTCGCTTATCTAGTGGTATCTTTCTGCATTGTTTCTTTGTTACAGATACCTTGCTAAAATGATACACAAACCAATCCTGTCCTAATGCATCTTTTATTCAGTCCTATAGCCTGCCAGCTGTATATATAAGGGACAACCTGTCTCTGAACTTGAGTTAAATAAATCATGGGGAGATTATCACAGCATGTCCTACCCCTACTGATCAAAAGTCAGACCTCTTAGAATATTGGTGGCTCTTCTAGGATAATCACCTGGACATTTAAACAATGAGATGTGTGAAACCGTCTGTTACACAACGATGACATCACACATGTGGTACAGATGTCTGCATCCTGGCATCTGGGGAAGACAGGTGCAGTGACACTCACGACGTTTGGTCGGCATGCATTGTACTTAATGGGATTAAATAAATCCATAACAGCAAAGCTTGCAGGTGAGCTCACTAATAAAAACTATATGTAATACTGCCAAGGTGAGGTACGTAGTAAGACCTACAAGTATTGTACTGTCGTTTAGCTGAGATGCATCGGTAGCTAAGGGATGGGGTCAGAACTCCGAGTGCCTCACTGTTAAAGAGGCCTGGAAGGACACGAGCATCCTGGGGGAACCAAGAAACGGGACGTCCCGTTACATTCTGGTGCAGATGGAAGTTCCCGATATCGCACTCCTCCCGAGAGGAGCTGTGCAGCCTCACGAAAAGCCCCTGCGGATGCAGCTCCGCAATGCGGACGCCTGCGATACCACTACAGCACTCTGCTCTCCGTCAGCGAGTGGCGCATTAGCACTGAGCGCCCTGTTAGCAAAAGGCTTTATAACAAGCATGCATGTCAGCGAGCAGCATTAGCAAGCAGTGCTTTGGCACTGAGCCCTGTTAGCAAACATCATTAAACCACAAGGCGTCAAGCTAGCAAGCAGCATTATAACAACGACGCATGTCAGCTAGCAGTATTAGCGAGCAGCGCTTTAGCAACAGCTAGCAGGCAGCTTTATAACAGGTACGCCTTGGTCAGCTAGCTGCGTTTTAGCTGTGATTCAGCGCTAAACCCTCTGCTAGCAAACAACATTATAACAGGTATGCATGTCACCTAGCAGCATTAGGTAGCAGTGCTGTACACTGAGCCCACTGCTACCAAAACAGCATTATATAACAGGGTCCCAAGTTCGCAAGCAGCACTATCGCCCTAAGCTCTCCGCTAATGAGCGCAATTACAGCCCAACACTCTCCATCACCGAGATCACTATTACAGGGCTGCCAACTTCAACGTTTCTGGTGACACTCACGCTTTCAGACTCAGGCTCACGAAAGAAATCTTAGGACAAATCCATATTAAGCCATTATAAACCTAAAATTATCGATATCAAAAGATATCAAAATTTGCAATGTAATAAAACTCTTAGATACATGCAAATGAGTGTGCAGACTTGTCTCGAATTGAAAATCTCACGCCAGACAGCTGACCGAATTTGGCAACCCTGCTATAGCGTGTTAGTATGATACAGTTGTCCTCTAAGTCTAATTGGCATCAAATCAAATTAATCAATAACCCGACGACCCTGGATGGGTTTGATATTTGAGGACATTTAATCTACTCCAGCTTTAGTCAATTTCACATTTTAGCCAGTCCAATTATAAGTTACTCACAAGATAAAAAATAATTGAACAATATTACAAATTAAAGGTAACATTTACCTCTGGCCGTTTAATAACTACGGAAATTCAGTGCTTTTAGGTGTCTGTATTACTACTCGTTAAGACCACGAACAATTCTGAACTTCTCTCAAAGTGGCAGAATTATAATCAAAAGCTTTGCTGCCACATCAATGAAGAATGTGGAGCTCTGCTTTAGGGGATGTTCATAGTCACTACTGCAGTCGTGCAGTCACTGTTCACACCAAACCAAATGCTTTAAAAGACAAAAGCAGCCTCCCAGAAGACCAGCCCGGCCGGGCATAATCTTCACTGTGCTCCATCACGGTGGATGGCTTGCATGTCTTCTCATAAACACCAGAGGGCAGTAGTTACATTCCACTCTGCTTGGCCAGCAGGTTCCAGGTGTCCCAAGCCTTCAGTGTTGGGGGCATGTCCAGGGTAAGGGGCAAAGTTCTTGGATTCAGAGGTTCGTGGTTATGGACTGTAAAGAACTGGATGTTAATGTTAATATGGCCTATTCTCTGACCAGGTTGAGCTATAACATTGTGGTAGCCAAACTTATCATCCCTGGTCTACTTGCGGGCAGTTCTCCAAAGACTGCTAGCACCCTCTAATGTGGACTTCCTCCCTAGGTTACTTACCACCCTGCAAGGCCACTTTTCTCAAATATTTGATGCGATGAAGTGCATTTGGTGGTAGGCATAACATCAGTGCCAAGAAGAGAACAGGACCTGGACTGAGTTCTCCTGCCTGTCTCTGTCCTCTTGCTAGGTGATGTTTGTGTGTGTTTGTGTTGGGCTCGTGTGTGGTTTAGGTTTGTATTACATTGTGAGGACCAGATTTCCACCACAATGTGATAAAAACCCTGTTATTTTGACATTGTGGAGACCATTTTTAGGTCTTCACAAAGATCTGTGAATGCAATCAAGTCTCATATGTAGTTTGGTTACTTATGGTTAGTGTTAGGGCTGGGCAGGGCTGAAGGTTGTCCTGTTGGGATTAGTGTTTCCCCCATAGAAATGAATGGAGAGTCCCCACAAAGATATAATTACAAACTTGTGTGTGTGTGTGCAGTTCAGGTCAGTAACAAGTGCATGTTTCCAAGAGAAAGTCGTGTGTGAGTGTGTGTGTTTGGAATGAGTGAACACTTGTTACTTGGTGCATCACTGAGCATCACATGTGTGACCTGTGTGACGCATGAATTTTCCATTTGGTTTAATAGCTCTGGGCGATTTGGTTTAATGGCTCTGGGTCATGTGCAGTGATAAATTATAGAGAACATGCAAATTCTGCAGAAACAGACCTGGGCAATATTTCAATGTATTTGTAATGAGATGAATGGCATATGGCTGAATGTCGCTGTGTTTGTAATGTTATTAAGTGGAAAGGGCTCCAGACAGACTCTGGGCCCAGTAACACTGATGCTAATGAGTGTCACCTGACTGGGGAGATCCCCTGAGCCGGCTGCTGATTCACACTGAAGATCGGGGCCCCGCCCCTCCGATGTAACCACACCCTCTGGGCATGACGACTGTCACCATGCTGTCCCACCATAGCTATTCCAGCATCAGTCATGAACGTTTTAGAAGGTATCATGCTTGATGTGGATACATTATGCTTTTAGCACCACGTGGTGAAAGGAAGAGCAGCTTCCTTATGAACAGCCTCCCTCACTGTTACTGCCTTGTATAAATATCTTTATCCAATAATGTTAATGACACAGCAGAACCGCCTTACTGCCCTGCCATTCATGTTCTCCCCCAGGACTGGACTGACTTATCTGGGGGCCCAAGGCTAACATCAGCATGGACACTCAGGTGTTGCCGATTAAAGTACCTGTTCCGTTTTTCCTGACACAGAGTCGGGGCTCTGATGTTTACCGGGGCCCTAAGCTATATCCTCGGAGCCCATGCATTAATCCGCGCCCAGTGTCACCACCTACCCAATCTCCCATGATCCTCTTGCAGAGTGTCCTGGAGGTGGCTCGGGGTCTGCAGGGTCCCTGGGCTCGGCGCTTTCCGGTAAGGTCGTTACCGCCAGACGGAGCCCCCCCGCGTCGCAGTGTTTTTCTGGTTACAGATCGTTACACTCCAGCCCCTGGAGTGAAATCCGTGCGGCGCAGTGCGTGAAGACTGGGGGCACATGACCTGCATCACGGCCCGGTTCAGCTGCCCCGATTTCACGGACAGCGGTGTTCAGCTGACCCAAGCTGGGATCGGGAGCCCATTCCAAACCCGGAGACGCAGGCTCAATGGAATACAGAAGGTCATGTGTTCAACCCGCGCTGCCCCGTCATGGATGAGGACGCTCAAAGCTTGTATTAAGATTTAGGCTTAAACCTAAAAGCTAAATATGAAGTGATATAAGACAGCTAGCCTGATTTATTTTAGAAGCTCCTTGTTCTAGACTGGAACTGTAGGACTACTGTAATCTCAATCTTTCTCCAGTAGGGGGCCCTTGACTTCCATAACAAAATCATAACACCTTAAACCAATTGTTTTCACAACCTTTTGATTCACAGTCTGTCAATATGAGGTTTTTCACTTTGAGGATATCTTACAGTATATGTATCAAAAAGAATATACGGTATATGACCCCCTTCTACGGCACAGCGAAGGGTAACTCTGGCCTTAACAAGTTCCAGCGTCTGTAGATGGGATTGTTACAGAGGAGGCCTGCCGCGGACATCTCACAGATCTGGGAATGGAAGGGCGGGCTTGCTGACAAACATCAAATTCACCACATGGCTGTTAGGAAAGAACACATGTCCAAAAGCAAGAGAGCATCCCACTACGAGAGGGGGGTCCCTTTATGATGTCACAAGCAAATGGAATCAATGCCACGGCAACGGTGTTTTTTTGTCAATTTAAGTAACAAAGTCACTGTAAAAAATGTTTAATTAATTAAATTAACTGACTTATATAATGATATGTGAACAGACATATAACAATCATCAGCCCCAATCCAGTCTCTTAAATTCCATAAACAGTTAACTTGTTAATTTCAATGCCTGTGCTCTATGTGTTGGCTAGCTATGGTAATTATCTCACTTGCACCCACCATCCACTGGGGCCTACGCTTTGTACTGGGATTTGTCACTGTGACATACTGAAACATGCTTAGTGTGCCAGGTGAGAGCCCAACAAGCACAACAAAACCTGTTGTCACGCCAACAAAAGGAACACTCTGCAATGTGTCATTCCGATTTAGGGACCGAGCGCATGGCAGTCGAGATCTTAAAATAGCATGTTTGTCACACTTTTGTTACCCTACAAATGGGGTGTACAGCGGTAAATGCACATTCGCTCACGACGGACTCCAATCCTTTTTCTCGTCCTTTTATAGTCACTGCTATAACAAAGAGATATAATCTTTGTTTTCCATGTTTCCACGAGAGGCTCTTAAAATAACTTGAAATGGTTGTTTGGGGAAGTATTCATTCCCCGGCAGTCTGAAGGAGGCGTCCACCCCTGACTCATCTGAAGAGATGAGGGGAGCTGCTTTTGGTGAAGGCCTGGCCTATCGATGGGTCCCAGGAGGACTGTGAGAGCCTCTGTACTCGGTTTGCTCGTTAATGGGAATCAGCATAGGACGGTTCGTTCTGAGGGTGCTCGTTAAGGCAGGACTGTACTCTGGTGAAAGTGAATCCCAGCAGCTCTGGCTTATATAATTGTAATGAGAAAAATGATGACAGAACAGACTGGAAAGGTTTTTAAAATCCAAAATAGAAAGATTACTAGGGAAACCAACAGAAAATCCAGGCACTGCCATATTAGCCCACCTGGTCCCACTGCTGCTCACTCACTAATGATGGTGAGGGTCGGCACATTTCGGTGAACTCTTCACTGTCACCCGGGCATCCCTCCACACCGCGGTCACTCACTCACCTGACCCCCATACAGCGGTGCCAGAGCCGCTGGACATGGAGAAGCCAGGATCCGATCCGGCATGGATCAGAAGATGGCTAGGAGGATGCAAAAAGTACCAGAGATGGTTTAAAAATACAAAACAACACACCAGTGAGTTCTCTTTTTAAGACAATAGGAAAATGCAAGAATTTCTCAGTGTAGTCATTGGTCGACTAAAACTACACACTAAACAAATTAGCCAATGAGCTAAACTCTCCTGATAAATTAGCATGTTCTTTGTTTCTTGCACAAAAAGCTGCAGAATAAAATTAGTCTTTCACCTGAAGTTCTCATCCCAATGGACCTTTATGTGGGGGGAAGGGGTGGCATCCTGAAAGCCCACTCATCTGTAAACACAATTTGATGCATCAGCAAGTTGGGGAGTGACGTAACACTTGGGGGAGGGGGGGGGGGGAGAGAGGGGGGGGATATCATTTCCTATTTAAGAACTGAAGGAAGATGACTTTGGAGCACCTTGAAGTTTTCCACCAAAACGAAAGCTTTGGTGCATGCTGTCAGTGCAGCAATGCTGGTGTGTGTGTCTATCACTGTAGCGGTTTACAATCAATCCAACACATTCGTTTTTGGTGTCTGCCTGTCTGCCTAATCCTCAATCAGTTAAACACACTCATTGTGGCCAATCAAAATGCATCCTGGGAGCAAACCATAGGGAGAATATGAACCTAACAACTTAAAAATAAATAAACAGAAATGTGCTGTCTGGGAGCACAAACATTACGAGACAGAGGGCATTGAGAGAGGACACTGCTCCCCCCCCCCCCCCCCCCCCCCTCCACCCCCGCTTAGGTCAAACAACATTATCAGTCACATTCTGGATCTGGAAGCAAGGAAACACAGAGCTTTCATGATTTGGTCTTAATTATCGCTCCCAAAGGCCTTTTCTGCTCAAATTAGACCTTTGCAGTTTGTCAGCTGCTGACCAGTGTCCAGTGTTGTTACACAGGCTTCATGCTCACACGGAAAAAAACAGGATGTTAAGATCATAATGTTAAAGAACAAGCAACCAAACCACACAAAAGGATACACAGATTAAAACATCAAGCCCAAATTTAAAAAAGATTAAATATTATGTAGGTTCATATGTGAGTTATCTGAGCAGAGATTATACTCAGGTAGTAAAACTCATAATAGGCCTGAAGTAATTTCACATCATCATCCACTACAGCGTTTGATAGTGCGGGAGATTAAAAATACAGCATTCAGCAATCAGGGAATTGCTGATGCGAGGCTGCAAGGATCATTACTCATCTGCTGATGCTATGCAAAGAAAGTGTCTTTCATTCATCTTTTTCATTTTTCAGTCGTTTTATGGATTGACCACTATCCCTTTGGAAAGGCTATTTTAAACACCATCTGTGCGCACTCTGCACTTTCCACGTCATTAAATAATATAAATAGGTAGGTATTACCAAAAAATCGGTAAGACTTTACTTAAGGCCATATTTAGTAATTTATAAACGCATTCATAACAAATAATAATGCATTCATAAAGCGTTATAAACACAGTTATAAATATTTATCAAAGGCTATAACACGTTATAGCCATTGTGTATTAGGCATTATGACTGCCTTATGAAGCTCTCATCTATAATGCGCTATAGATAGCTTTATAATGCATTATAATGGTCAGTATAAGCATTAAGGACGCATATTATAATGCATAATATATATGGCGCTAACGTGTTAGGCTTTCTTATAAATATTTATTGTCATATTTATAATGTTTTATGAATGCATTATGAATGTGTTTATAAATTACTAAACATGGGCTTAACTAAAGTGTTACCAACAAATCTTATTCATGGAAAAACACTACTGCATAAATAAAAGACGCGAAGTTCAGTTATCTGAGATTTTCAAGGCCAGATAGTGACGAATAATTCAAGTTACCTCTTGTTCAATATGAACGGCTGGGTGTTTCACTCTTTACGCTGCATAACATTCATCGTGTCTCAAAGTCGGACCTTTTGGCACTGGACCGCTAGGCCGAGGTTTGGTTGCCATTGTTATGGATAGAGGAGTCATGGCATGTACCGAAATTCCGCTGCTGCAACAAAAATTAAACAAGCTACTGAAATAGTTAATAAACAAAACATTTCCCCCGAAACTGTACAAGAGCAATACCCAGATTATAAACATTTTAGTAAGTTTTACCATCTATGACGTGTGTAACTGCATACGATCCAATTCAGTGTCGGACCCACACGCTCTTTCAAAAGACCATAACTCTGAAGGGCTTAAAATCAAAAAGCCATCCAAACATTCAAACATAAAGATATAAGCACGTTCGATTTATACAAGGAAATATTAACATAATTAATAGTAAACATGATTCAAAGGACACCATAAACTAAAACAAGTAACAATCTCCAAAAGTTAATTGCACATTCGGAAACTAATGTTTTCATACACGTATACACAAATACCAATCAAGCCAAAGCCAGGTATATTATATAATATTCATGAACAAAATTATTTTTCATCCTGTTAGTGCAGGTCATAATGTAGTGTGGATAAGATGCACATCAGTGTGCGCTTGTGTTAGCGGGCAAAAAGCCATCGTAGCAAGAGTAAATTGAGCCTAACACTATCAGAGCCGTTCGGCCAGGAAACATACCCCACCAATCTACACAATTACAGTAATTTCGTGCGCACCCTGTCCTCCCTTTTCGCACACGGTAAGAGAGCAGCTCCTCATTGCTGTAAGCACCGAAGCTGTGCCGAGGGCGTGCATTGCAGCTTTAAATAGGTCCACAATGCTTTGCGTGGTCCCCCTGCCGCTACGATGTGTTTTACTGGCAGGGGCTCCCATATGTGGCATACATACGGACTGCAGCAAGCGCCGCGCGGTAACGTGCGCGCTCGGTGACAGTGACAGGGAACTTTATCAGGGCAGACATCGCCGAGCCGACACCTTGTCCCCTGGTATCTCTGTGTCCTCCATATATTCGCCTGCTGGATAGTGCAAATCGGCTTTTTTTGGTGTGGACTGTGAAGAAGTAGGTAAGACTTGATTTCAGTCCAGAGATTACTAAAGTGTAATTCGAAAACAACAGAAAACGGTTAAAAATGTGCATCTTGTCACATATATTGTGGAAATAATAGCGCTTAGGTCATATAACGATTATAAGTGTAAAAAAGAAAAAAATTCTGATTTGATTGGACCTTGTAAGAAAAGTGGTTATTGAGGTTAAATAGTTTTAATTTTCTCCACTGTTTTGCTATCCCGACTAATTGGTAAATGAACACATTAGAATATAGCATTTGTCGTGCCCAGTATATTTATATATTTACTGAGCTCTCTGTTTGTTTTGTAAATGTAACGAGGTTAATTTAGTGTTACTTTCATTCTGAAACTTTGCTTTTTGTAGAAAATAAGCCCAGCAGCTCAATTAGTTTGTGACTAAAAGTTTCTCAAATAAGAGCGCTCGGATCGCGTCATCTTTATAAAAGCAGCCAAAAGTAGTTACTGGGGAAAAGCGCGGTGTTTGTGAGGGATGCTGGAGCCGGACTGTTCAGTGATCCCCGGAGCCAGGCTTTTTTGGAGATGGGAGCGCGTCCCCGCGGCGAGCGCTCCGCTACGCCCGCCGCGCGGCGCTTCTGCAGTGAAGCCGGCTTTTTGGCTCGCCGCTCGGATCCCCTCATCTTTCCCATGTGTTACCGCTGCAATCCATAATTCACATTGCATACGGCCGGTTGATAATCTGAGCGATGCTGACTGAATAATGTGATTCAGGTTTAAACCTCGACTAAGTTGATATATATATAGAGAGAGATAATAAAAAAAAAAATCATGAATAATTTGCTCTTATTTACATGTATTAGACAGGGGCATTGTCTTGAATACTCTGCATTGTAAAGGCGACTTTGTTATATATTTTAAGCCCATACTATGGATAGATTCTTACACCACGTGGATCTCTTCCTTATTACATGCGTCTTCTTCAGGCTATGCGATTAATTAAATATATTCTGGCTGGATCAGCCTTATTAACGAACTGATTACGTGAGTCCAGATGGTGATAGGTTTGGATGACAGCAATCAGGCCGCTGTCAGGAACTATGGAAATGTGTTTTCAACCATTCGTCTGATTATTAATTTCCCAGCTCATCATGTCTTGATTGCTCGGGTAGCAAAGAAAGTTTTTATACTGAGTGTTTAAATAACGCGCAGGTTTTAATGTGCACGCTGTAATTATTGTATTAACAAAATAAAGCTTAAATTACAGCAAAATAGTTACAGTAGGCTATTAATAGAATGTTATTTAAAGAATCATAGGTTTAGCGTTCATACAGGACGTACTAATTCATATTTATTCCGCTCTTGTTTCCTTGTTACTTCGGTGGTATATTTTTCCCCGAACTACCTCTGTTTCATCATGTTCTCAGTGTTGTCGTAAATTGTGTTCAGTTTAGTGATAATCCTAATCAATCAATTCACATATTATGTATTCCCCCACTCAACCTATCCTCTGTGTTTTATTAAATTTGGAGCATTTTTGGGATACGTATTTATAGCCTGCCTCTGAAGGCAATTACACTGATTACAAGGGAAAGTAAATTTTGCTATTGTTTTGACCTAAGGATCGGTTTCATGGCATGAATGACAGCCTTGTAAAAGGAGTGATTTACGATGCTCTAAAGAATAGCTGGTTGTTTGGTAAGTAGAAATTGTCCACCCGCTTCACTCTGGTAATTAAACAAAGTTAGTTGGAAAACCAGTTTTCGTTAGTTGGCATTGCGGTAAATGTTTTGCGGCGTGTTCAGGTAATGGCTGACGTAACAAGTCTGACAGCAGACTTGGGTAAATATATTTACATATGTGACAGAACATTTTCTTAATGGTATGTAAGGTTAACGGATAGGTTTATTTATTTATTATTCTATTTATTTTTACGTAAATTCGGTTGTGTTCTCTATCCTCTTTTGGTTGTAGAAAACGATCAGGGTTGAACCTACGCTGGGTCATTGACTTTCTGTAATATCTGAGTTTCTCTTCACCTGACATTGCCAGTTTACATAATCATGACCAGGGTCTCGTTTTCTACAGCACTAAGTGTATATTTGAATTACATTCAGCTTTACATGCATGTATAAAGTGACACCTGTACAAAGAATGTCACTGTTCTAAAATGGCTAGATAAATAAAATAGCATTTATGGATCTGTTAACCTACCCCAGCCAGCACAGCACAGGACAGGACAGGGAAACACCCTGTATGGGATGCCAGTCCATCATAGGTGTCACACAGCATATTAGGGACACCAGTCCACCCAATTTATACCTTTAGACTAAGGGAGGAATCCAATGCAACAGGGATAGAATACTCAGATTCTGCACGGTGGGGTGTGATTTGTGGCCCAGACCCGGGGCAATCCTCCCAGAATGCATCATGTTCACTGCTGGTGCCGCTTAAGCATCTCCGGGTGCCGTACAGGGTGTTTCTGGGTCCCGGTGTGTGTTCAGAAGGGCCTGTTCAGTCTCAAGGCTCCTCCGTCTGCCTACATGACGGGGCAGAAGCCAAGTACATTCTCCGCGCACGCCACGCCTGTAAACTTGATCTGTAGGGTTTTTATATACAATCACGACACTCGGCAGCAGTTTGGTCATGAATGGCAACAATGTTAATTTGCATCTCCGGAACAATTAGCAGTGATTCAGGTTCTTTACATTTATGAGCTGTGCCGTGAGGATGATTTATCACCTGCGAGTCCCGCGCGGTCCTGAGGATGAAGCGTGTGCACTCACTGAGTCATCCCACGTCAAGCTCTATCACGGAAGCCTCCGGGGGCCTGCGAGTCAGGTGTCTCTTCGTATAATGGGTAGCCTCCCGCACCTTGCTGCAAAATAAAGGAAAACATGTTCCTTACGCTTCTGGTCACCATGGAAACCAGCATTTCATTACGGGGAAGCTTTTGGCGGCCTGTGGTGCAGGATGCGAGTCGATGTTGCCAGAAATATGCCCTCTGGTTCCCCCGGTTCCTCCGCCTCGTCTCTCGGAGAAAAGACCCCAGTGTGGCAGGCAGCCTACAGGGTTTGGCGTGGTGAGGTGATTTGGGGTTCCCACGTTTGCCGAACTGTCCATCATGTCGCGGCACCGGGCCGCTGCAGGCTCCAGACTGCCTGGATCAGCCCGGTAGCTCCTTATCTTCTGCCAGATAACCGTGCTTGTTTTGGACGACACCATTGTCCACATCCATCTGGTCCAAAAATACAGCTCATTTCCCAGGTTATCATATCAATGGCCACTGCTCTGAAATATGTTTCCCCAGAGCCTTCTGCTGAGATCTGGTGGGTACAGTGCATAAACCCATAGCCAAGCTCTGTAGCCGGAGTAAAAATGAAGTTAAAAACCTCATTACTGTGTGAGAAAGCCCCTCTCTGGCAGGTGTTGTGTTGGTCTTGGCCACTAAGCGCATCATGCATGCGTTTTCCATGTCTGCAGTGTAGGGCAGTGTGAAACCCAGTAGGTGAGGGGTCTGTGCCTATGTGGATCAAATTCCATGGCAGGCAGAGTAATGACATCATCGTTAGAGTAATGACATCACCATCGGAGTAATGACATCATCGTTAGAGTAATGACATCACCATCGGAGTAATGACATCACCATCATGCCCATGAGCAAGGCTCTTAAACCGACCCGCTGCTGGGTGCTGGCTGACTCTGCACTCTGACCCCGGCTGACTCTGCACTCTGACCCCGGCTTTCCTGACTCGTACGTCGCTTCACACCAAAGCATCTGCTATATCAATGTAAGCAGTACATGAATCGTCTGAGTGCCATTGTTTGGATTCCTACCTCACAAGAAACTGAGGCCCTTCCTGACTGGAGGGGGGTACATGAGGGGGGGATGGTGATAAGGAGTATTTACTGGTAATGAGCGGCTATCAATATGAGGTGGACCTGCAGCTGTTCAGGGGTTAGAGGTTAGTTAGATTCCTGGTGTTTTTTCCTTATAGCCAAGTCACACCTGTGTGATGCCACAGTATAATGAGAAACCGGTCACAGTGGGGGGGGGGGGCTTATGCCAATCCGGTGCTAGATGGAGAAAAAATCACAGAGAAGGACCAACCTGTCCAAGGACTGTGGTAGACATCATCCATTCATTTGTCCTTCCCTCTTCCGATAACTCGCATAATACAGCATTATGGGGGAGACGGTCACCAGTTCATCCTACGCTGCTTCTAAATTTACACTGTTTACTTGAAAAAATAAACTTTGTTGTACAAAATCTGTTTTATTCAGAGGTATAACGTGATTTTATGATGTAAAGAACAAGCGATTAAAAACTGAACTGTTTCAGACATGAGTGGAAGTAAATTCTGTTTGAAATGTGTCCGATCTGAAGGTAAATAAACAGCCCTACTTATCACCGTGACAGATATTCCCCAGATAGTGTCTCTACATTAAACATTTTGATGGTATATCAATGACTAATTGACATTTTTTACTAGTAGAAAAGCCCAACACATCAGTAAATATAGGGCTGGCCATCATTTAGAAACCATACCGTTGTAACATCCTGGACAAACATTCTTTTTACGTTCTCATCACATTTTACATAACTTATTAACTATAGTCTCGTAATGGGAATGGAAGCATTGGGAGGCGAGAGCTTGCTACCAGGTGATAAATCTTAAAAATAGAAGCAGTGGTCTTGAAAAGGGTTTTTTTTTGGGTATATTTTTAAAAGATTGTGAATCGTGGCCTTTGTAATGCATCAGGGTGCCAAACCTACTTCCCGTGAAAAATGAGGCCACCAGCGATACTTACAGTTCTATGTGAAGTAATAAATTAGCCTATAAAATCAAAATCCGGGGAAGGTTTGGTAGCAACAGTGACAGGCCACCTCTCAGCTGGCTGTGGTCCTGCAGCAGAAACAAATTAAAAACAGAACAGGATGCTGAAAAACATGCATTTCTGCAAATAAAGCCCCCTCTGCCTGATTCGCATACAGCAGAAGCGCAGCCACACTAGCCACTAGCTGTGTTTTCACTCCAGTTTTTGTGCAAATTATAAGCAAATATCCTATAAGCTGATAAAGTGAATTTGCAAATAGGGTGTGTTTCCATTAATGGGTGACATGGGAAAAATTCTTTCCATTTATCGTCCTCCAAGATTAAGATCCGTGTCGCCTACTTCAACATAGAGCTGGCTTTCCACGAGTTAGCAGCTCCAGAAGAACGTTCTGCGTTTCCACCAATTAGCAAATTCCCTTTCCGTCACAGTTTTGCTCATGGTGTCTTTTTCGACTTGCCACGAACACCACCTCCAGTGAATGTAAAAACTTTTTCGCGATAGCCGAGTGTTTCCATTAACAGTTTTCCAATGCACGTTATCAAAATGCGCGAAAATCTAGGTCGACAGAAACATCGCTATTTGACACAGTATCTGGAGTAACTCCGAACAGGCTTGTCATCATTCCATCCGAGTTCCAGCGCAAATCAGCCGTGACGCGGTCGATTGAGTCCTTCGCCATCCATATTTAACAATATACTTAAGTTGAAGCCTCTTGATTCTCTAACCATTTGCATGCAAGGATGACAGATGGCACAAGTGAGGAGATGCGTAAGTGTTTAAACAGAATAACACAGTGTTTCTTATTATAGCGCAAGAATGGCCGATTCATCATTCTCCACCTTGAAACGATCAATTAACTAATGGACGAATTAATAGAAATGTTCAGTATTAATTTGTCGTTATAGGATTCACAAACAATACGAAGAACAATGAATACAAATGTCATTTTTCATTAAGTAAATGTAGGTTAATTCAATTTTAAAATGGAAAAACATTCCCTGGGTGCTTTGATGCAGGCTGTTAGGTTTTAGTGTCTTGTGAGTGCACCCCCCCCTGAGCTTCTCTGTTCGTTGATTCCCCCTCCCCCCCTGTTATAGTGCTTTCCGTTTCCCTGACCCCATAATCCCACCTAGATCCCAAGATCCCTCCCATTCCCTTCAACTTTGCTGTTTGTCATTGTTTTGCTCTGCTGAATACACATATTTTTAGACCTGCATGTTGGGAATAATGTCGGCGATGTTTTTCAAGAATCACAGTATGCGAGACTCAGATGTTGACACAGCCTTAACCCTAGAGGCAGTAGTGGAGCCCTTACTTGGTTGAAGCTAAATGAGTTTTGCTTAATGTTGTGATGTTTCTGGGGGGTATTTCCTGCTCTGGGAAGTAGCTAGAGACTCTGCAATGTCACCTTAATGCGCCCCCCCCCCTTCAGGGACGGGCAAGCTGTATTATTGGATTGTACGGCAAAATAATCAGGATCCGCTGCATTCGCCAGCCTGCAGTAATGCACTTTTCCTCGCTATACATTAACAGCGCTGTCAGTTCTCCCGCACAGAAGCAATATAGTGTTGCATTACCACGTAGGAGCCTGGAGTTCCACTTTTACGCCGTACATAGTGCATTTACACTATCTGCTGCTCTTGCTCTTTTTCCCCCGAAGCCACCGGCAACAGCTAAGCAGTTCAAATGCGTGACGATGGACTTTTTGCTGATCGGTTTAAAAGGGCGTAATGGAACCTGACCTCGTCGTACGATTACTGCACGCTGTGACAACCCAGAAGCGCCCAGTTCAAGAAAAGGACAGATTCGCCCTGGTTCCCTTATCAGTGGGGTCATCGGGGGACGCACCACAAACAGGTGGTACTGAAGAACGCGGGGGAAGTAATGAGCCCAGGTCACCAGCGTGAGAAGCACTCTCTGGACTAAGGATGCCGTCTCTCTCTGTGTCTGACAGCCCCTACAGCCCTCAAACGCCACTGCGTTCACAGAAACAAGAAGCACCGACCTTTCATTTCATCGCTTTTGCTGAAGCTACGTCTGCCTTGGTCTCCCGTCGCAGTGGAACCTCCTGAGTAGGAGCACTCTGTTCCCGAATTTAGCTGAGATCCAGACGGGGCAGCTGTACTCTCCTTACGTTGGGATGCAGGAGACCAGCAGAGGTGCAGATGTTTGCTGGCGGTTAGGGGGCGGGAGTTCTGATGCCCACAGGCCCGAAGCAGGAGGCGGGCTCCTCAAGCTGCTCCCCGCGTGGGATGCAACTCGCTCCAGAACTAACAGATGGTTTTCTGCTCTCACCTGTACCCAGGAAATATCGTCTCTTTAATCCTATTCCAGAGCTGATTGGATAATGCGATTTCCATACAGCCGTGAGCTCACGGAGGTCACCGCCTGATGGAGAGGTCCGGGTCCCGTGGTGTCAACGCGACTGGATGGCAGAGAGAATCCCAGGCCTGTTACGGATGGATCCACTGAAGGGCGGAGAGATCCAGGCCGTGTAAGGGATGCCCTGAAGGATGGTAGGGGAAGACCTATGATGTAGAATGGAGATCCAGAACGTTGGGCTGTGATTGGGTACTCTGTCAGGGAAGGGCTACCTTCAGGTGCGGCGAAACGAGATTTCGTTCAAAAAGGATCTGAGAGAGAAGAAGCACCGGCACAAGGCAGATGGGTCCTTCATCTCTCAGATGCTCTCACAGTTCATGCTTCCACGAGGAAATCTGTTCCAATTCCAAGCGCTGCCACGTGACACCAGATGACCGTATCTCTGCGGCGTGGATCGGCCGGCCAGGAGGAGGGGACTCGCTCTGCACCCGCTTCCGTCTGAGGAGACACGGGCGAATCGTTAGTTTACCGAAGTGGTATTTGGGGATAGAAGCCTGACATTTCACGGCTGTGATCCTGGGCCCTCCTACCGGCGCGCTCGACGGCTGCCATCTTGGAAGGCGCCCAATAGCATTCCAGCATACAGCGTTAGCGACGTGGGGGGAGGGGGGGGGGGGGGGTTGGCACTGCAGAGGCATGCGTGGGGTGGCCGCCCCCTCAGGCTGCGTGTGCCTGCCCGTGGCAGTTGGAGGGTGGGTGGGGGGGAGGGGGAGTCAGTCTGATTCATACCTTTGGATATCTGACAAACACTGTGCCCTCACTGAAAAAAGCCTCAGCGATTTCGCCCAAGAAAACCTCAAATCCTGCTTTGATTCTGACTGGCTTAGAAGAGGTCACTGCTTCCCGATTCCTCAAATGTTTAACATCTCCGTAGTAAATGAACTGAACGAATCATCTGCTTTTTATGACCGCAGTACAAGACCTTGAAATCATACCTGATCGTCCATTAGAGACCCGCCCACCTGCTTACTGACCGCCGGCCATTGGGTCAGTAATTATCGTCAGTCGTTAAAATGTGACTTTTCACTGCAGCGATTTAATCGATGTCCCCATGTGGGGGTGTGATGCGTGTGTCACCTCCCAGGCAGAGCGTCTCAGCGTTACTCCCACGGTTTTTCCTCGTCACGCCGGAGCAGGAGAATAGAGCACAGCTGATATGGGCCACTAACGACCCCCCCTCTCCAATCCGTATCACCGTCACAGATGTGAAGCTGTTTCTGTACCCCGGTAACAGAGTCTTTGTTATGCCCGCGCTTATGTCTGTTTGCCGGCGGGGGAATCACTTCCTGTCTCTGGCCTTCCTGTCTCAGTCTGCATCTGTTTCCTGTTTGTGTCCAAACTGAGGCGGTTTGCTGGGGGTCAGGGTGGGGGTCAGGGTGGCAGAAACAATGGTTGTTGATTAAATGTACGACGAGAAATTTCTTTTGAGGAAAAACTGTTATATACCATGTTGCTGGCAAACGATACCACCGGTTTTTTAAACAATTTCCCAAAAATGGAAACGACAAAGTATGTGATTCAAAGAAATTATTTTTATCCCAAAACTGAAGTAAGCACTTACTTTTTGGTAATTGTTGAAGGTCTCATTATTTAGCTTTGGGAAAAAAAAACATTTTCCCCTCATTTTCTTTCATTGCACAGACTGGCTTTGGTAATTAAGTTTTATACTTTAAATGAAAATGCTTTCCTGAAGTGACCTTGAGGTCGATGGCAAGTAAACGCTTAATGCCAAGCTATTGTCAGGTCTTTCATCAGTGGCTGACAAAGGAACCGGAAGCTGAGAGGGACCTGTGGTTTACCCCACTGCATGGCAGGGAGCTCAGGCCTTGTGGGATTTCATTAGCAGTTCCTATAATCTAGTGCAGTCAGTATCCCTGTAATCACTGAGGCTGAGTACAGAGTTGATTACACTTAGGAGCTGCAATGACAAACATAAACCAAACAACTGCAATAAATACTACCTAGTTTGGATGATATGCTGAAGAACATAACAGCTCCACAGATACCTGCTTCTGTTGTCTCGCTTTAACCGGCACATCTAATGCTGACCGAGAAGCGTTCTTTCCCCTTTAAAGTCGAGAACCTTTAAACCTTGCTAACAAGGCTACATGGTATGAAACAGATATTCACACAGAGCAACACGATAAACACAGAGGGACACAAACCCTAAACACACTCACGGTTCAAAATGTAGGGCCACACATCTCCTCCAACAAACAATACAACTCGTGTAATATATGCCCTGCCTTTATTCTGGTAACATCTATACTAGTCGTATACTATTTTAGATCCATAAACACTACAGAGATTTCTAGCTATGAGTTCCTTACAGATTTCCCAGAATCCTCTTGGGGAGTGACTCCCAGCTAGTGCTGGTTGGCTTGTTTTCTTTGACTCCCAGCCCAAGGAGGCCCAAATGCTAACTCGCTCTTAGGTGGACAGTTCTCATCCGCTAGCCAACCCACCGCACCGCTAGAGGACCGGCGATCAATCAAAGTCCAGAGAACTGCACGGTTCTGCTGATTTTTTTTATTGGTCCTACTAGGCTCATAATTATCTGGCTTGAAACAATAATTTATTACTAGAAGCGGTCATTTATGACTGTCTGTGAACGGACTGACATACTTAACTGGCTTGGAAAAAAAAATTGAGCGAGTCGTCAGTATTGTGGCCCAAGGTTAATGAGAATGCGTGAGGCCGGCTTTCGCGAAACCTTCCCGTGAGCAAAACCAAAGCTAGAAGCTGTATTAGTAAACCGGAGTGTAGCTGACATTCTGCATTCGGTCCCTCATGGGCAAGCAAGACCCCGCTAGTCTGTGAGACGGCCAACAGGTACTTACCCTGGGTTGCATCAGTGAACCGTCCAGCATCATGAATCAATACAAGTGTTTGTAGGCCGCTTAAGTCAACCTGGCTGAAGGCATGTCCTGGCTTCAGAAATCAACAGAACCTTGGGTACATGTGTCACGCACAGCTTGGGGAGGAGCGTGGGGGGGGGCACTTAGCTGTGTGAAGGACATCAGGGAGCTGGGCTGATACCCTACTAACAGGGAGTAATTAGGGAGGCTCTTGCATCATCGGGCAGCTGTGTGTGTGGAGGGCAGGGCGATCTGCTGGGGGGGGTGATGTCTGAGGAAGGAAAAGGGAGCAGGGAGGCAGTTTGTGTGCAGAAACAACACAAGCAACACCAGTCTCTTGGAAACAGAATACTGGACCTGGGTGAACCAGCAGCCTTTTATGGGTGAGCATTTTTTTTGTTACTAATCCTACTTGAATATACCCCCCAAACCCAGTGAGGGGCTCACCTTGCCTCCACCTGCAGTACTGGAGTGGGG